TATAGTATATATTATATATATATATATATATAATATTATATATATATATATATATATATAAATTATATATCATAACGAATAAAATGTTACCTTTAATCGCGGATCACGTGAAAAATAATATCGTTCGGATTCATTGGCAGGTCGCAAACCACGTTTCATTAATATTATGGCACTTTCTCTGGTTATGGAACCTTTATAAGCATCTTCAACAATGCTAAGCACTTCATCATAACTATAAGATGGAATACTGTCAGATTGTAGCAATTCATATTTTAAAAATTTGTCAATACTATCACTGAGTATAGCAACATTTTTTGCCACATCTTTTACACTAGGACTTGCAATATCTAAACTTATCATGAATTCCACTTCATCAGGATAAAATGCAGCATATAAAAATGATATTGCCCCTCCTAAGGAATGTCCAAGTAATTTGACCTATGATAATCATATTTAATTATATATTAAAATATGTAAAAATATGTAAAAAAATAGAAAATTATTATTTATGAATATTAATTCAAAATGAATAATTATGAATATAAAATAATGTATGGATATAAATTATTTTATAAAATATACTTTTTATATCATGCAAAATTGGAACAAACACTTTCAAGGCTGACTGTTATATAACAATAATGATGAAACAATATTTTTCGTTTAATAGATTTTATGATTCATTGATATGATAGTTATTTAAACTACAAATTGAGTGGTAATAATTAATCCACTCGCTAACCTTCTTCCATTTGAAATATTTTACAATTCTACGAAGTAGAATAATACCATCCCAGTAAACATAATAGTATTGACTTTTTGGATAATGGGAAGATAAACCATGACCAGGCATATCCAAACAAAGTACTGAAATCTCATCACATAATAAAGGAATCAAAGTGTCAAAACTGCCAGCATTATCTTGACGTCCATGCAGAGCCACTATTGGTTGGATCCCTTTAGGACCCCACCATTTGCCTGCAGGTAAGTGATTATTGAAAAAATTTAGAATAATTTTTAGATTTAATTACTTTAAATATATAGAAATATATTAAAATTTATATTTCCTAAAAAAAAACATTTTTAGATAAAAATTTTAATATGAAACAAAGTTGTAGCTGAACAATAAAAATTTATTGTGATTTTGAAAATATATATATGACCTATAGTTATACAACGATAGTACATGACTTACAATGCATTGTATATATGAATACATATAATGATTAATTATGTAAAATTTTAATTAAGTTTATAACAGTCAACCTTGTTCCAAGTAAATTTTATATCAATTTAGTCACTATAGAGGTAATTATATATAATATATGTAATATAACAATTTTTCTATTATAAATAAGTCAAAAATGATATCAATATAAATATTTATGTATATTATCAAAAAATTAAGTATGAAAATAAAAAATTTTTATGTGAAAAAAATTAAAATTAATAAATGATCGTTGTATAACTTGTATTTGCTAGCTAACCTTGTTCCAGTTATAATATTTAACAAGTCTACGTAGTATAACAAGCCCATCCCAAAATACATAATAAAATTGTCCAGTAGGAAGATGGGAAGATAGACCATGACCTGGCAAATCTATAGCTAGAATGGCTACATTTGATGGTAATAATGGAATTAATTTATCAAATGTTCCAGCATTATCTTGCCAGCCATGTATTGCTACTATGGGCTGTTGATCCATTGGTCCCCACCATTTGCCTAAATTTATTATCATTATACTTTGATATTTTGTAAATATTATTAGAATATTATTAATAAAAGAAAATTTTTCATATATATATTTATAACTGCAATTAAAATGAATTACAATATTTACTGACCGCTTAAGTAACCCCATGGTACAGGTATTTGAATTTCTTCCACATCTGAAAATTATTATTTTACAATAATTAATTAAAAAAACTGTAATATAAAAATATATCAGTAAATAAAATAGTAACTTACTATGTACTTTATGTCCATTTATACTTTCAGTAGAATCACTAGCTTTATCAACTGTATTCATTTGGCTGATAATAAAATACTAATAATGTTTAAAATTATAAAGAATTATTTCTCTTATATATATATATATATATATATATATATATATT